GGGGGAGGCACTGCGGAGTGGTGGGGGGCGGTCCGAGGGGAGAGATGTGGTATTTTTATACAATAGAGTATTACTCAGCTATAAAGAATGATAAGCTCAAAGCCTTTATATTTAAGTGGATACCACTTGAAGATAAACTTATAAGTTAAATAAACCAGATCCACATGTGTAAATATCATATAGTGTCCATAGTGTAAGAACTCAAAAGAAGAAATAAAACTAGAAAGTATGACACAATTAAAAGGAAAGTGAGAACTTAAGGATTAAACAATGAAGAGAGGACAAGGAGAAAACCTAGGAAACATGGCATTTTATGCATAAAATGATTAAGGCAATGATCCTGAGAATCTTCAGCAAGTTTTTCAAACTAGCAGTCAATTGGTAGGATTCTTACTATGACAAACTATATATGCTGATACCTGTGAACTAAGCAATGGCACTGAAGATAGCAATCTGTAGTACTAGGATCATGCTTGGAATGCATGTCATTCTGGTCTTCTAGATATGTACTGATGTCATGTCATACCAATTACTGCTATACTTCCTCTCAAGTAAATGTTTGTTTAAAATAAAGGGTAATAAATGAAAGCAAGAGTCAAGAAAAAAATGTCATCAGACTGTCCTGCCACAATGCTGTATACAGTAAGATTTCTAAACTTTCATGTAAAAATATGTAATTGTTTATTCCTTTTTTTATTTTTTCTTCACATCCTGTAGCTATTTAAAGTTTAACATTTCAATACTTAACAGAAAATACTTGTTCCTTGTTATGTATAAGATGTTTGATATTCCAACAGATAGTGAGGTTAAGCTCAACTGCCTATGTTATAGGGTAATAGGTTAAGCTTCTCTTCTGGAGGGCTAACAACCTAAGTTTGCAGACCAAAAATTGGAGAAAAAGAAAAGCTGAAAGGACAGCCAACATTTTGGCCCTAGCCTTTCAAGGTCAGTGAGGACTCAGGACATAGGAGAACATATACTGTAACATCCTGTAACTCAGTTGTGTCCCAAATTTTCTGGTCAAGGAGATTATAGGGCCACAGAGGAAAGGGATCGAAGAAGTATAGTGTGCCTAAGGAGAGTCACCTGGAGAGAAAACATTCTCTCAGGCTTTCAGAGAGCAAATTGGTCAAGCAATGGTCGTGACTCATCCACATGGCTGACCCTGACAAAGGATCTATAAACTGTGGTACAGGGTTTCAGGCTAAATCCTGAGGGGATTTGACTGACCTTGTCAGATACAAAAGTTAAATTTCTTGTTATATAGATCTTGCTTTATCTTGGTCTTAACCATCCAACAGAAAAGTATTCCATACCCTAGGTGCACAGGAGGATGTCTAGGTTGTCTATCCTAACAATAAGGCCAGTTAGAGCATCTGTACCATGCGGGCCACAGAAGATCCAGAGAGCTATGCACATGACATTCACAAAAGACAAACAAGTTATAAAACATAAAGCCATATTAATATGCTGAGCTGTAAAGGGATCAAGTCAACAACTTCTGACATTGCCAGTCCTGTGGATAACTCACTACTATTATGGACTACTGGACTATATTGGATTATTTTGCTGAATTCACACACCTACTATATTTAAATAGCAATGGAATACTCATTTCTGACAAAACTAAACAAAAAAAGGGGATACAAATGAAGAACCATTTTGTATCTGTATATACAAAATAGGATAGATATACAGCTACTTTCTCTTAATTCAATGAAAAGTAAAATTTATACTAATAGTGTTTGGACAGGATATCATGTCTGCATCTTTTACTATGAATAACCACTATGAAGACAACAATATGCAATGTATGAATTATTGAAAGTGTCCTACTAATCGGTTTTGAAATTTTCTCATTGCTCTTTGTTTCTCAATAAAATTAACAAAAATAAAATAAACCAATAAAAATGATTAATATTTGTAAAACATTATAAGAATGTTTAAATTCTTAAAATTTGAAATATAAAATAAGTGATTGAGATGTATAGGAGGAAAATGAGAGAAATCAGCCATTAGAAACAAGTTCAAAAATAGAGTCCAGCCAAGTCAACAAACCTCAAGAAGAAGGGCTGTCCTAGCTGGTGCTGCCAACGTGCTGAGGAGGATGGTGCTGATTCACCCCAAAGTCTGTGTGAGCGGTGGGCACACAGGGGGATGACTGAGTGTGTCTCAAATATGTCCTGCGCCCTGCATCTGCCTCAGGATTTACAGCCTGCTGTGCACCTAGGGCATGGCATGAGGCCCACAGGGCTTTGACCCAAAGTAGCTTTCACCTCACTGATACATCCCCAGTGCACATGCGCACGCGTGCTTGTACCGTGTATTCTCACTGCCGCCACCACAGGTCCACTTTCATAGACAAATGAAATCCCTGCACCACAGACACATACCACACAAGACCACTCTATAGTTGGAGATTTTTATTAAGTCTGTTTGTCTTTGCATGATGGTGGGAATTGAATCAAAGACCTCATGCATGGTAGGAAAGCATTGTATCTCTGGGCTCTACAGCCACCCCACCACTCTATATTTGGAACCTGGGCTCCTCCAAATGACTTTGTCTGACAAGTTGGAAGGGGTAAGAACATCACAGAGTCAGGGCCCAATGTGACATCAGAACAGGATGTTTTCCCACTAGAAGGTTCATCTCCCAAGATGCACCAGCACTATCATCATAAACTGAGTACCTAGTGTCTTCTGAGGGTGTCATGTGCCTAGCTCTCCAGACCTTCTGTGGCCTGCATGGTACAGATGCTCTTACTGGCCTTATTGTTAGGATAGACAACCTATGCCAGCCTCCACATGGTGCTCCCTAGTTGTGCAAGGGCCTCATCATCATGCGGGAGGTGCGGAGAGAAGAGACAGAGTCACTGGAGGCATGGTCCCAGCGGATGCCATCGATCTTCCTCCTGTGCTGGCCAGCTTGGTAGTAGATGCCGTTGAGGTTGGACATGCCACAGGCATCAAACCACCATCCTGTGGAAGAGGGGAACATGGAACAATGCCTGCTCTTGCTTCTTGGGCCCCAGCCAGCCTGGGAGGTAGGTGAGGGCCCACAGAATCTCTGCTGACACGTGGCCACTAGAGGGCAGTGGTGCCTCTGGCACCCTGCTAGCTCTGTGTACCTCCTGACACTCCCCAGAATCCTCAGCATCCATGTCCCTCCCTTACTAGCCTTCTAGCCTTCTGGCTTCCTCACAGCCTCATTGCACCTCCCTGGATATCTGGTGGTGTCTGTTTGTCTCCTGAGTCTCTCTCTCCCTAGTATCTGAGCATGGGTCTACGTGTGCATCTCTCTGGCTGAAGACATCCTTCTGTGCTGGCTGTCTCTGTCATCCTGCCGCTCTCAGGTCACTGTCCCATGCACCCAGGCCTCTCATGGCCACATCCAGGCAGGACTTCCTCTCCAGGTCACCCTTCACCTTCCCTGCCCAGTGCTGTCTGTCTCCACCGTTCTCATTCCTATCAACCTCTGCCTCTCTCTGTCTCATTTGTCCTTGTCTCTGTGGCTCAGGTGTCTCCTCTGTCCTTCCTGCTCTGTCTCTGACTCATCCCCTCTCCCACTTTCTGACCTCCATCCCAGATCAGGCATACTACACCAGCCAGAGTTGGTGCGATCTTTCACCTGGACACATCCTGATGAACTCTGGCTTAGGAGGAGGAATGTTCTAAAGATCTCATGGCCTTGGAGACGAAGGCACCTCTGATCTGAACTCACCTCCAGACATAATCTCTGAACAGTTGCAGCCACAGTTGTCATGATCTGCATCCCGGGTGCTGAACTTGTTGTTCTTCAGGATCAGCAGACCATTGCGAGATGACACACCACTATCCTTGTCCAGAAAAATTCTGCAGGCCACACAGAGATGGAGATAAGAGAGAGCCCAGTCAAGATAGTGTCCAAGTGAGGAAGCCCTCTATTGGGAGTTTGCCCAGGTGGCCTCCCTCCTGCAGTCTGTGAGCAGGAGCCTCAGCCTGGGTGCTGCTTGTGGTCATTTTCTTAAGCTACTCTATCCCTCCTCTCTCCCTCTTGGAAAATAATCAGATACTGTACATTGGACCTTCCCCACCTCATTCCATGGGTATTGAAGCAGAGTAACAGTGCCATATTGTGCACAATGTATGATAGTTTTGGAGCCTCTACGGGGGGGGGGCAGGCACTGTCCAAAGGCCTTTGCAGGGGTCAACTCATCTTTATCTCAGCCTCACAATGCTCTGTCCACAGGACAAGATGGGACCCCAAGAGCACAAGAGGCTGCCACAGTCTCAGGACCAACTAGGGTCACAGCCAGACTGCATCCCACCATGGCCTGCCTGCGGGCCCACAAGCTGATCTTCCCATGCTCAAGTTCCTGCACCTGTCTTGTGACCACTACTTGTGTCCACTTGTGTCTTCCAGAAAGCCCTCTCTCACCAAAGCACCCCACACTTTTCTGCACCCAGGGGCCTCATCCCCATGCCCTGTGCAGCCCTGTGACCTGCACATCACCTGGCAGCCCACCCGGTGGACTTATCTTCCTTGGTCAGACTCTGTGATCCTGACAGGCACAGCCAAGGCAGGCTGGTGCTGATGGCCATCAACTTGCATTCAAACCCCAGCTCTGCCACTCAGGGACTGCGTGGCCTTGGAAGACACCTCAGTATCTGTATCAATGCACTCAGGAGCCATAGAAATGCCTACCACAGCCTTGCTCATTGTGTGTTTTGGTAACCCCAGGATGTAGATGCTCAGAGCAGTGAGCAGTTACTGTTCTCTGTTATTTGGCCCCCGTCACATGGCTCAGCCTGGCTGGAAGACTGCAGACAGAGGCTGTGCCTGGAAGAGGAGTGGGAGACAGTTGGTAACCATTAACCTTTCTTGGGGTGGAGGTGAATGGACTGCAAATATAGCCATCACAGCTAAAAGAAGCACTGGATCTAAGGGCAGGCTTCCAGGATGCCCGAGGTAGTGGCTCCAAGGTATGGCTCCCTCCTAAGGAAGATTGGTTGGTGTATGTGTCTGGCACTGTCCTCAGCCTTCACCTATGACCTCTATCTGTGGTAAGGAACATGGCCCTCTTCATCCCAATGATCAAAACCAACCATGAAGCACCCTGTGTCCTTAAGAACATGGCCCTCATCTCTGGGGCAGGTGTGGGTCAAGCACCTGCAAAGAGCTGCCTGGCTAAAGATGCCCTGGAGGGAATCACTGCTGTCCAACTGCTCCAGTGATTCTACATTCACCTAGCATCCACTCAGGATCCTGGGGGGAAAGTGAGTACTATTAGCCCCTCATCCCTGGGAGCCTCAGTGGGACCCCACATCATGGACTAGGACAGTCTCATTGCCACACTCATAACAACCAATTTAACCATATTTATGGTTCAGGCCTGTGGAAGCTGAAAGTGAGATACATCAGAAGTCACATGTGTAAGACCAATGCTTACACATGTGACTTCCATTGGGGCCATCTCTATCCCAAAGTGAAGCACAGTCCAGGAAGGGATCTGGAGATCATAAAGACTGTGCTCCTTAAGGAAAAGCCTCTGTGACCAATAACTTGATGCCATGGAATATGGGCTATGGAGAGAAATACAAGAGACATTGGACCCTAGCATCTGCACTACAGGGTCAGGGAGCTCCTGGGACTGTGGGTCCCACAGGGAAGCCCAGTGTAAAGATGCCCTTGTTTGTCAGACAGTGATGGGAGCTGTGATACCCAGCAGGCTGCATGCAGAGCCTGCAGAGGAAATGGGCCCAGGAAACACAGATGAGGCACAGGCACACAGTGACCTGGTACCTGCTTGTCAGAAGTGCAGACACATGGACCTGAATCAGAGAGCACACAGAGTGGCTCAGGCAGCTCCATCATATAGTGTGGAGGGGCTCCCTCACATCTCTGGTGCACCCACTTCACACACACAAACACAATCACCATTTGCATCTATCTGTCTCCCTATTTCAGGATGTGCCTGCTCTCCAGAGAGCCCTTCCTACCTGCCATTGTATGAGCAAAGGCCACACAGGATGGGCATACCTCCTCTACAGTGTCCTCCCTGACTGGACAGCATTTCTGGGTTGCCAAGGCCTCTCCTTTTGTCAACACTGTCCCTTCCATGGTGTGGGACACCAGTGAACATTCTGCAATATGGCCCACACCAAAACTGATGTAACTCTGAAAGGGTGGGTCACAGTCTGATTCTTTCCAAAATGACCAGGCCAGCACATGGAGACACAGAACAAGTATCCAGCATGCTTCTCTATAGGGCTCTGCAGACTTACAGGTGAATGAAAGCACTCTGAGGCCTGGGCAGGACAATCTGGAGCTCTGGAACACTCTGAGGGCCTGACACAAGCCAGAGGGACCATAGCACTTTGTACAGAAGAGCTTGCAAATTTATCACACATGCATACACTTGCAGGGTGAACATAAGTAACACTGACTGAGGCATTCAGGTAGAAATGTCACATTTCTGTCCTGGAATATATCATCTCTACCTATCCAAGAAGCTTCACCTAAAGTAGGCACAGTAATACCAAGGTCAAGAGTTGTTCAGAGGATTTAAAAGAGACTGGAGAAAATATTTGATAAATAAGTTCTGATTACTTTGCCTCAGTGTACCAGAAGTCAGAACAAAGAAGGGGTGGGGCAAAGGGAAGCTTTCGCCATACACCTATATCCAAAGCTATTCTGCTCCTGTGTAGCACAGGGATTCAGAACAACTTGACATAATTTGCCCAAGTGAGAGCTGCTGAATTTCAAGACAGGGTCTGATTTTGCTGGCTCCCAAGGACATTTCCACCTCATCCCGGGACATGGTGCAGCCTGCAAAAGACACTTCCCCCATGTTGTGTTGCTCAGTGACTGTGCTCAAGTGATTGCCCCAGGAGGGACACCACCCCACAGTCTCCAACCCAAAGCTCACTAGCCACCTCTCAATTTCATGATATGGGTACAAATGAGGGACTGATGGTAGAAAGACAAAACAGCCAGGTGACCTTTGGTGCAGATCTGCAGGCACTGTCCTGGGACCCAGCCCACCCAACAACCAGGTCAAGAGCCCACCTGTAATACTGTTTTTCACTGTACAGCTTGAAATGCTCAAAGTTGGCGTAGAACTTGCTGCCATCCCCGTCTTCCATCTCCACACGCAGGGAGTAGTTAGTGCTGCTTGTGAGCTGGTACACCGCCTCATTACCCAGCCAGTGCTCTCCAGCTGGGTCACCAAATCCCTATAGGGTAAGGAGAGGACATGGTGGGCTTTCTGCTGAGCTAGGAGCAGTGTTCCTGGCTGAGCAAGGACCTAGGCCAGGCTCTAAGGCCATATCTCCCAAACTACAGGGCCTAAAGATCTCTGTGAACAGCCTCAGTTAGGAGACCCACACCACCTAGAGGAAAATCATCAACACATTTCTAAAGGTAAAATTTCAATAAATATGACTGAAATCACATTTCTCCAAAGATCAGGAAATGAAAATACTATCTGTGGTGATCCAAATGAGCAGTGGCTCCTTTTGGAGTGACTAGTGGGTGGCACAGGGGGGATTGTGAAGTGCTGTAAGGCTGGTATGTCAAGTACAGCATGGGCCACATGGGTGAGCACGTATTCCAAATCCACTGATCCTCACACTTCACATTAGTGCACTTTACTTGCATGATTGTTCTACCTCAGCTTAAAGAAATAAGAATTTAGGCTCAGGTATAAATTAAAGAGCAAGACATTGCCAAGGAACAGGGCAGCAAATGCAAAATTGCAACAACATAGAAATGTATAAAGGCCTCAGAGCACATGAAACGTCTTGTCACCAGTATCCAGAACTGACAAACCAAAGCTTCTGGCAGAATACTGGTTCAGCACCATGGACAGGGCACACAGGACCACCCCCCCCCCCCGGCTCCCCATTGGTGGGATGAAGTCCCATTACTAGCTAAGCAGCTATCCAGCTGTCTTTTGCCTATTTCTGCATCTTAACTCCTGATTTCCCTTTACCATTTTCATGATTAAAAATACTCAATGGTTCGCCCTATGTTTGACTTTTAAAGCTATGCCATTGAACATCAAAAATAAATAATTGCATAGTTTGTGTATAGAACTTGCATTGTTTATGGCTGTTGAGAAGGAAGAAAGGCAGAGAAAGAGGAAATATTTTCTTCTGGCATTTTAAAGCTGCTTCTGACATAATAAATTATTGCATGTTAAGAATTAAAAAAATAGGAGCTGCAGGCGCGCAGGCCGAGACTGCGGACCCGCGACCGAGCGTCCAAGGCAATGAACTCTTCAAGTCTGCAGAAAAAAATGGCCTCCAATAAAACTACATTGCAAAAAACGGGAAAGAAACAAAATGGAAAAAGTAAAAAAGTTGAGGAAGCAGAACCTGAAGAGTGTGGTAGAGAAAGTACTGGACCGACGTGTAGTGAATGGGAAGGTGGAGTATTTTCTGAAGTGGAAGGGATTTACAGATGCAAACAATACATGGAAACCTGAAGAAAATTTAGATTGTCCAGAGTTAATTGAAGCATTTCTTAATTCGCAAAAAGCTGGTAAAGAAAAAGATGGTACAAAAAGAAAATCTTTATCTGAC